ATATAAGTACTAACTTTAAGTTAAATATAAAAGTGTTGACAATTAAAGTTGCATGACCTTGCCCTTCTATACTCCAGGTATCCCACGCAACTCCACATAATGTGTTTTCACTGAAGATATAAATACTGCAGCATTTTATGAGGTGTCCACAATCCTCGCAGGAGTCATACCGTAACATTGAACACTCACTGAACTAACCTTGGTCAAAATAAAGGTCTTATCATTACTAGCCTTGCTTTGCTACTTGGTTGGTTATAAGCACAAACTAACAATTTAAATTCTCTAAGACTCAGCTCCCTCATCTTAGAGAGAGAGAAACATCTAATTCAATTGTGAGGATTAAATAGAATTATATCAATTGCTTAGAATATGTACATGGTCCTAGTGGCAAGAAGCTGCACTGCAATCCCAGAGGCACACGGTTCAAATCCACCAGATGCTCTGCCAGGGAAGGAGGGACAATCTCCTCCTGTACCAGTCAGATCTGATTTGACGGTACACACACACAAAAATAATAATAAAAAAACAACAACAATATGTACATGGTGGTGATGGTGCTTGTTATTTGTCATTATGAGCGGGCAATAACTCATAGCCCACCCTGCAAGCAAGTTTTCTGAGACTAAATATTACATTGGAGGAGACTGCCTATTTTTGCAGCTAGTGAATTTGAATTGCAATACAACTCTTTAACCAGTAGACTACTGAGTTTCCTTATATTTGTTATTGTTATTTATTGCTATCGAGTCTGAACAAAAGGCAAAAAGCCTTTCTATAACTATCGTCCTTTATCAAAGCTTATAGAGTTTCCAGAGGCATGTGGTTTAGGAAGTGGATGCCACCCCTGCATCCAAATCCCTTATATTTATTGTTAGTTATTATGAGTTGGTTACTATAAATCCATATCCCTTTGTATGCACTTAAAATTTAGGTTTAAAAGTAAGTCAGCCATGGTTTTCTTAGAAGGACAGCTTTTCAATCCATTATTAGCATTATGACTTGTATATATTTAGAAAAAACAATTCTATAAAATTCTGATTCCAAATTATATTTTAGAACTTGCACTTAATGGATCCACAATCATGAACCATGAAGCAAGTTAAGAAATCAAATGACAAATTGCATTAGGCACATCAGCTGCATATGACCGCTTTAAAGTGCTACATAGGAAGAAAGTCACTTTGAGGACAATGGCTTGCCTGACTTACGTCATGGTTATTATCAATTTACATCTGAATTGTAGGGTTGGTGAAGTATATTGAGTAGACCATGGACTGCCTCGTTGTTTGCTGTTGAGTCAGAACTGACCCATAGCTGACCCTCCAATAGTTTTTCAAAGGCATTAGACTGCATCAAAGAAGACTGTCCATTCTTCTCTCATGGAGCAGCTGGTAGATTCAAACAGCAAGCCTTTGTGACTGCTGCACAGCTTCTTACTCTGGGCCACCAGAGCTCCGTAAGAACACAAAAACTAGTCTTGGAAGAAATATATCCAGATGTTCTTAGATGAGATTTTATCTCAACATACTTTGGATATAAGAAGGGACTATGTTTGGTGAAGCAGAAGGTCACTGAAAAAGAGGAAGATCCTTAATAAGAAGGATTGACACAGTGGCTGCAACAGTTTAAACACAGCAACAAGCACGAGGACCAAGGACGGGTTTGTTCTGCTGTTCAGAGGACTACTAGAAGTTGAAACCTATTTGACAGTACCTAACACAAATCCTCCACATATAATTAATGATATTTTTATAGGTACAATGCTTAATCAGATTCTTGCATTTCAGAGCCTAATGTTGACATATCACTGGCTAAAATGTTTTCATATTACTCTAAATATTTTCCTACTTACAAGAATCAGAGTCATTAAGTCCCTAGTTATTCATATCAACTTTCTTTGAAAACCTAGAATATCTAGTATCTATCAGGTTCCTTTGATTTTGCTTTTTAATTCAAGATGGAATGGTTTATTCAGAACCTCACACTCAGGGATGAGGGGGAAAAAACTGACAGAATTTAAGAACAAAAAATTACCATTAGTATTTTTCCTATTCTACACAGATAAAAAATCTGCATCAAAAAGCAACAGATGGCCTGATGTTATGTGTATTTAGACTTTCTGCAATCTCTCGCCCCCTCAAAGCTAAAAAAAAAAAATCCACAATTGTAGCTTATCTGGGATTTGATGTATAACATCTCAGCAAATTTATATTACACTTATATATAAAGCTTCCACCCTGAACCAAAACCTGGTTTTAATTACTTTCACAGCAGTCAAATTACATAATAATGCTCTGAGATTATTATGTAAATGTAATAATTAAAAGTTTATCATATACTCACAGATAATTCACTGATTATCAGTGTTTTAACAAAAACTGTTCTCAATGATCTATAATTTTTTGAAAATGACTTCTAAGTTTTATGTACTTTAAAATAAAAAAGGAAACTACAACTATAATTAGGGCATTTTTAGCTATGCATGCTATTTTATTTAAATTTCTTGACTTCTCATATTTTTAGTATTTTTTTATAAGTGTTAATCCCAAAATTACTTCAGTCAACAAACAGGTATTGATCACCTACTATACGCCATCATTCTGGAAAGGCAGAGGACTGGCAAAGGGGGGAAGACCTTCAAGCAGATACACTGGCACAGTGATTGAATCAAGGGGCTCAAGTATATCAGAAATTATGAGGTCAAGATAGGGCAGAGTTCAGAACTGTTGTTCATATGGGCACTGTGATTTGTACTGGGCAAGGCATAGTATAGGGGCAGAGAGAAAAAAGCAGAAAACTAACATGAATTCTCAAAGATCTTATATTCTGAGATTGAGACTGGTATAATTCATTATATTCCTCTACAATTCATAAAGCTGCATCTAGAACATGAAAAACCAATTTCAACTTCTCAGCACATGTTTTTCTCTTGTTCCTCTGTCTACACTGTGTGCTAGTACTTCCTTAGGCATAATTTTTTCCCCCTTCTAATTTTTTGGGGTTTTTGTTTGTTTGTTTGTTTGGTTTTTTTTTGTTGTTGTTGTTGTTGTTTTTGTCCAGTTCACTGAATGGGAAAGAGTTACTCAAGACCCTACTTGGGTGTCACTTTAAAGGAGTTAGTCCTAAGTAAAAGGAGCCCTAGTGGTACACTGGTTAACTGTTCAGCTGATCCGAAAAGGTCAGCCGTTTGAATCCACCAGTCATACCAGGAGAGAAAAGAGAAGAATGTATGCGTCCATGAAGATGTACAGACTTAGAAACCCCAGGAAGTAGTTTACTCTGCCTCCTAGGGTCACCATGAGTCAAAATCAACTCAACAGCTGACATGAATTGAACTGTGTCCCCCTTGAAAATACATGTATATATGATAGTATGTGGAATCTATGTAATGATCCCCCATGAGTTGATAAACCTAACAACTGTACACAATTCTGAGTGGTACGCAATACCCTTAATCTCATCATAGCCCAGATCCAATGTAAGGGTATTTTCCCTAGGAAGTGGCCTGAAACACCTTTTTACTACACAAAGACAAAAAAAGGGAAGAAAACAAGTAGGGCAACCTCAGTACCACCAAGAACGATGGGCGGGAGTGGAATGTATCCTTATGGACACAGGTGCCCCCGCACTAGGAAGCCCCTGACAGCAGGGAAGGCCAAATCACATGGAGATCTCCACAGAATACCAAGCTTACAGATGCTGAAGGAAATGTGGACTGTCTTCTAGTATCAGCACAGAGACGGCCTTCCCCAAGAACTATTACTTTGATTTTGGACTTCTAGCTTTCTAAACTGTGAAAGAATAAATCTGTTTGTTAAAGCTATCTACTTATGGGATATCTGTTATTTCATCCCTCATATACTGACATCAAACTTGAACCCTGAAGGATAAGGCTGTAAAGTGAATGGAATGAAACTGTTCAACTTTCTCCGTGGAGCAGCTGGAAGATTTGAACTACCTGCTCTCAGTTAGCAGTACAATTCCTTAGGCACTAAGACACCAGAGTTCCCTGTCTCTGTTATAGCAGCACTAGATTAATTAAGGTAACAGGAGTATTCCTGAATAAAGAGCAAATTGGTACTTGCCTAGTTTCTATTTCAATTTTCCTGAACTTTATTAAGCATTCTCTTTAAACCAGGAAGAGGTGAGGATGCGACTACTGAACCAAGCAATTTATCACCAAAAGTATCTCAGAAGACATTCGTCTTTCATATAGTTATATATTTCCTCATAATCCTAATTACTTAGCACCAATTCAGTCTCATTAAAAAAAATTACTCTCTAATGACCAAGGTTCACTAATTCCTTAATAGATCAAGGTGCAACTGAAATACCCATAAGGATTCTTTCATTCATTTACCCAGGTGTTATTTATTAGACATATACCACATATAAATTGCCACAAGAATATTCTGTGATGATGTCAGTATTTCATCTACTTTCACACTGTCCAATATCATAAGAAGCACAATATCATAAGAAGTCACAAGAAGCACTTTAAATATAGCTTGACTGAAGAAATGAGCTTTTTATTTCCTTTTTGTTAATTTCCATTTAAATAGTCATATTACTCCTATTACAGCATATTTAAATGTTTACAATTTTCCATAGTCCTTTACTAAGTCACTGTGCCTTCACACAGTTTAACAAACCTGACAAAGATGGTGTCTACTTAGAAAAGTGATTAACACATGTATTTTACTTTACTTCAAGTCTCTAACAGCACTGAAACTGACTTTTTAAAAAATTCGAGTTCGGCAAGGGTGGCAGGACTTAAAATGTATTTACTCCTACCTCATTTAATTGGAAAACAAAAAACTGAGCCTCAAATAAGTAACTCACTCAAGAAAATACAATTAATTCATTAGAGAGTCAAGTGGGTTAAAACCTGTTTGGAGAACAATAATTTCAAGTATATGATGTAGGATTCTTCTCCTCTGCCAAATAATGATAATGATACAGATTCATACACACATATATGTAAAATATAAGAGCCATACCGATGTACTGGCGGTAGCACCCTGGAATGTTGTAGGTATATCATCTTGCAAATCATTTAATGAAAAAGAGTGGTTTAAGTCTGACTCAGCAATAGTCTTTCCAGATGAACTGACTTCTGCCTATAAAATGGACACATCCAAGAGAAGTATTATAAGAGAAAAGTACAAAAATAACCAAATTTTATTCAATTTCACCCTTATGTTTATTTTATTACTAGTTTAATATCCATTTCCAATCAGTTAAGCATTGAGCACTTTCATGCCCAACCTTGTGATAAATATTCTATTATGAACAATCTCTAGTCTCAGAGCTGTTCCTTGGTGATCAAGTCAAAACCAATATACATAGTTCACAGGCTATAATTCTAAAATCCAAAAATCACTTACAAGTAAAAATTATTTTGTCCTTTTTTGTAATTCAGAGAAAGCCAGCCAAAAACTGACATGGAGCTATTAATAGCCTTTATCTCACATTAGTGTAACTATTCCCAGATCTGCTGAGAAAGTGTCAATGTGTTTGACTGTAGGATGCAGTTAGTCTCACAGCAATCAAATGACATAATGCCACTGCAGGTGTTAATGGAGAGTAACCAAGTATACTGGCTTCAAGTCATTTAAAACCCAGCAGCCCAATACATCAGTAGAAATGCTCCAGAAAGTTTCCAACGTTATAATCTTTAAAAAGTAGACAACCAGGTCTTTCTCCCATGGAGTGGCTGCTAAGTTCAAACTATGACCTTTCAGCAAGCAGCCAAGAACTTAACCACCAGGGCTCTACAGATGGTATATATATTCTATTTTCTAATTTTTTTTTAAAAAAAGTTATACAAAATATATCTGCCCCTAAATTTTCAGATAACTGATTTAAGGGCAATAGGAATTTTCAGAAAACAATAAGCAATATCTATTGTCTACATCCTTTTCTCACTTACTGCTGTGAAGTAGTACAACAATAAATAACTCATAGCTGACTTTCCATTGGGTTTCCAAGGCTGCAAATCTCATGAGAGGGTGTCCATGTGCTCCTGCTCGCCCACTGCTGGATTCAAGCTGCTAGAGAAGCACTGCCTCAGGTTAACAGCTCAACGTCTACAGACTACACAGAACTCCTCTTCTAGGTATATAAACAGAAGGAAAACTTTTCTCCAAGTACTGGACCCTGAAGCTAACATAAAATATCCCCGAGTCTAAGCCTGCAACCAGGGGACCTCTGGAGATGTAGTCCATAGAGGCTGCACTGCTAACCCAAAGACTGTATATGTCTCCATTGGTTCACACGGACAAGTGGCTCCAAGGGAGAAAAATGTACAGTTTCAACTTACAATCCCAGAAACCTAGTGAAGTTAGAACCGACTCCTCAGAAATGAGTTTGAACTTTGTTTTTATAAGCATATAACCCCCATGGTGGACAGTGTTGGCTGGAGCTTCCCGACTAAATCAAGCCTGGAAGCAGGAGCGGCATCCACTTCCAAAATGGCCTGCCTCCGGAGACTCTATGTACGAACAGTGCTCAGGCTATTCGTTCATAGGGTTGCTATGAGTCATCTACGACTCAACGGCATTAAACAACAACAACCACCCCCATGTCAGAATACCTTTGTGAGTGTACACTATTGTGTTTCTAATAATAAAAATTGTTCAAAACCTTACTACAATATAACTGTAGAGATTTCCTGTCTACCCATAATACTAAAAGACTACATATGGAATTCATTTATTTATTAATTTATAGTACCTTAAAACTGATTTGTCTAGCAAGTTCTTTGGCTTCTCGGTCAGCCTGGCTTGAGTCACCTCCAGATTTTAAAGGCAATAGGACATCTTTCATGGTAGAGCCACAACCGTCACAACAAAAATCCTGTGATCTAGAAAGAAATATTTTTTATGAATATAAAGCAAATACATGAATATTAATTTCCTCTCCCACACATTTAGATGACAGAAATGGCAAAGGAGGTTGAGTTTTCAAGTATGGAAATACAAAGGAAGAGGAACAGTTGTAAGCAGACACTGGTGATTGGGACATGGAATGTGAGAACCATGAATGTAGGAAAATTA